GTCCACCCGTGTGAGTGGGGGCCTGTATTAATTGGGTCAAGTCCAAGGCCGTCATGGAAGCCAAGAACTCCTGAGCTGCCGCTGACGTCTCCCCCACTGATGGCAGGTTGAAATCCCCCAAGACCATAAGTCTGGGGGTCCCAACCGCCACCCCGGCTATCACGTCAGCCAGCTCAGGCAGGGCTGTTGATACATAGCATAACTTAATAACAGCCAGCTCAGGCAGGGCTGTTGATACATAGCATAACTTAATCTGTTTGCACAAAGAGAATGGGAATTCTGTCAGTCTTCCCTGGGCTTTGTCTGCACCCTGTGGACAATTTCAGTTTTATAAAGTTTAAAAATCCCTTTAACACATACATTTTAATTATTAAAAGTGGTATATTTATTTCTTGCCCAACTCTAGCCCCAATGAAATCATTAATAAATCTATTTATCATTTTAGGGAGTAACTGTACTACAGTAGAGGGTTTGATAACCCATGTCTTTAATAATTTCTGTATAAATGCTCAAAATTCATTAGTCCCATGGATATTTGTGAATATAGGAACGTAACATTTTCAACAGAATCTTTGGAGGCTTTCTCATGAGAAAAGCATATGAACTTGGATGGGCTACTGCCTACAGCTATGGGTAAGTATTAAGTTATCTCTCTCTTCCTATCACTTGAAATATAACATTGCCAGAACATTAGGGAAGGGCGATGTCAATTTTCTTTCCCATCTAGCAGCTCTCTTAAAGTTCTCTTCTTCCTTTGCTTGGTCACTTTGCACAATCTGAGCAAGAAGCATAATGCACTTTAAATCAATGTAAACTAGTTATTAAATATTTTTCTAAGTCACGTCTCATCCTTTCTCATTCTGAAACTGAATTGAACTGAATAAAAATGTACATTGTTTAAAATGTTACAAATAGTCCACAACTTACGACCACAATTGAGCCCAAAATTTCTCTTGCTGAGACATTTGTTAAGTGAGTTTTGCCCCATTTTACGACCTTTCTTGCCACAGTTGTCAAGTGAATTATTGCAGCAGTTAAGTTAGTAACACCATTGTTAAATGAATCTGGCTTCCCCTTTGACTTTGCTTGTCAGAAGGTCTCAAAAGGTGATCACATGACCTCGGGACACTACAACCATCATTGAACCAGTTGCCAAGCATCTGAATTTTGATCACGTGATCATGGGGATGCTGCAATGGTTGTAAGTGTGAAAAATGATCACAAGTCAGTTTTTTCAAGTTCTGTTGTAACTTGGAATGGTCACTAAATGAACTATTGTAAGTCGAGGACTACCTATAGAAGCATACAATAAAAAATGAGGGAGCAGGCTGGCGGGAAGATTGGAAGCAATAGCAGGAAAATATTGGGAAGATTGGGAAGAGGGCCACTGAGCATATGGGAATGGGAAAATGCTGAAACCATTGGGATAGGCAAGTTGGTGGGAAGATGCTGAAAAGAGGAATGGCTAGCAAAAATAGTAGCCATGGAAAGATTTTTGGAAGATTGGAACAGGAAGGGGGTGAACTTAGAACCTTTTGCTGCTTAATTAAATAACAGCCCTGCTGTGAATGATTTTTTTCTACAGCATTCCAGCACTGGATGCAGATATATATGGCCTAATTTTATATGTACTAATATGCTCCTGGGGAGGAAAGCTATGGCAAATCTAGACAGCATACTAAAAAGCAGAGACATCCCGCCAACAAAAGTACGTATACTCACGGCCATGGTTTTCCCAGTTGCAACGTATGGCTGTGAAAGTTGGGCCATAAGGAAGGCTGAGCGCCAAAGAATTGAGGCCGTTGAACTATGGTGCTGGAGAAGACTCCTGCGAGTCCCCTGGACTGCAAGGCGATCAAACCAGTCAGTCCTAGAGGAGATCAACCCTGACTGCTCCTTAGAAGGCCAGATCCTGAAGTTGAAACTCAAGTACTTTGGCCACCTAATGAGAAGGAAGGACTCACTGGAGAAGAGCCTAATGCTGGGAAAGATTGAGGGCAATAGAAGAAGGGGATGACAGAGAATGAGGTGGCTGGATGGAGTCACTGAAGCAGTAGGTGTGAGCTTAAATGGACTCCAGAAGATGGTAGAGGACAGGAAGGCCTGGAGGAACGTTGTCCATGGGGTCGCAATGGGTCAGACACAACTTCGCAACTAACAGCAACAATATACAAAGCATAAACTTTGGTAGTGAGGGAAAATTAAGATCAATCAATCAGAATAGAGCTGGAAGGGACCTTGGAGGTCTTCTAGTCCAACCCCTTGCTCAAGCAGGAGACCCTATACCATTTCAGATAGGTGGCTGTCCAGTCTCTTCTTAAAAACCTCCAGTGATGAAGCACCCACAACTTCTGATGGCAAGCTGTTCCACTGGTTAACTGTCCTCACTGTTAGGAAGTTTCTCCTTAATTCCAGGTTGCTTCTCTCCTTTATTAGTTTCCATCCATTGTTTCTTGTCCTGCCCTCTGATGCTTTGGAAAATAACTTGACCCCCTCCTCTTTGTGATAACTTCTCAAATATTGGAATACTATCATGTCCCCTCTAGTCCTTCTTTTCCCTAGACTAGCCAAATCTAAATCCTGCAACCGTTCTTCTTATGTTTTAGTCTCCAGACCTTTAATCATCTTAGTTGCCCTTCTTTGCCTTTTTTCCTTTTTTGTAATGTGACCAAAACTGGATGCAGTATTCCAGGTGTGGCCTTACTAAGGCTTTATAAAGCGGTACTAATACTTCACGTGATTTTAATTCTATGCCTGTTTATACAACCCAGGATTGTATTAGCTTTTTTGGCTGCTGCCACACACTGCTGGCTCATATTTAAGTGATTGTCCACTAAGTCTCCAAGGTCCCTCTCACAGAAAACTGTTTTTGAGCAGATGCATAGGAAAATAAACCAACACTGTATTAAATTATATTAACTACCATGCCTTTTTGCTTTTCATTTTCACAAAAACCACTTAATTTTAAAAGTCACTATCTGATTATACAATTGTAAATGTATTGCCTGATATAATGTTTTCACATATTTTAGGTTGGCCCAGTACAGTTAAGATTAATTTATCAATACTAATTAAATGCTGTGTCAGATGACAGTGAATATGGATGTAACTTAAGAATGCAGGAACTGAGGTTTTATTCATCTGTTACCCCTGTGTGGCAGAAATCAGTTTGTTGAGATAACAACATCAATTCTTTCCATCTCATTCTGAATAGGATACAGACTTACGACCACAATTGAACCCAAAATTTCCATTGCTAAGCAAGACTGCTATTGCGAGTTTCACCCCATTTTCTTGCTACAGTTGTTAAGTGAATCACTACAGTTGTTAAGTTAGTAACACGGTTGTTAAGTGAATCTGGCTTCCCTATTGACTTTGCTTGTCAGAAGGTTGCAAAAGGCGATCACATGATCCTGGGACACTGCAACCGTCATAAATATATGCCAGTTGCCAAGTATCCAAATTTTGATCACACGTCCATGGGGATGCTACAATGATCATGTGAAAAACGGACATAAATTGTTGTAACTTTGAATGGTCACTTAATGAATGGTTGTAAGTTGAAGACTGCCTATATTGGGTTCACTGAGCATTTGGTATTACCGATTCAAGATTGTAGTAGCTGTAAGAAACAATATTTCCTTAGTAAATAGACATGTATCATTGCACTAAATTCAAGACAATAGCTATTGATGTTATTAGACAGCATGAAAGGAATAAGTATCACCAGTGCAGAGAAGAGAGGGAGAAGAAGGTGAAGAGTTTACTGCTAGCTATAGGGAGTTGCAGTAGAGAAAAGACAGGAGAAAGGTTAATTTGCAGAACATGTGGCTATCCCAAGTGGGCCTTCATCAAATCTCAAAAAAGACCCAGCAGGAACTCTTCCATAACAGACCAAGAAGAAAACAATAAATGAAGCAACGTAGTCATTCCGTACGTTGCAGGAATATCGGAAAAGCTCAGGAGGATCTTCAGCCAACAAAACATACGTGCACACTTCAAACCCAAGAATACACTAGGGCAGAAGCTTGTCCACCCCAAGGATAAAACACCCAGACACAAACTGAACAACGTGGTATATGCAGTACAATGCAGTGAGCCATGTGCAGATCTGTACATTGGGGAAATGAAACCACCTCATAATTGTATGGCACAACATAGGAGATCAAACACATTTTAGTTTGAGTCTATGTTGTCTGACAAAGTTGCAAAGATCTTGTGCTCCCTGGAGGCATTCTTTTTTTAGGTGTACCCTTTAGCACTTGTTCAAAGGAAATTATTACGATCATATCTGATGTTATCAGTTATGTATTGTTATATTCAAATGTAGGGATATATGCTCTTGGCACTGGTGGAAAGGAAAACAAATGCAGTATAAGTCATATCATTTTTATTTGAAGACCATGTTACATTTGAATGGCTGTGGAATTCCACATAATAGTTCATCCTGTTCTTAACAAATGTGAGTTGTTATTTTTACTTGTAGTTATTTTCTAGTAATAGCTTATGAACTGTAAAATCAACTCCTTGAATGCTTAAGTTGATTTTAGCTTAATGCAATAATAAAGTCTCTATACTTGCTAGTGTGAGTATAGTATACTACAATAACCAGTTATGAATCTGAGTTTGTTAGAATTTGTGCAGTAATCAAGAGGATTCCTTAAGATTTTTTTTTCTGGATTGTCATGTATACCTGAAAATCTATATTCCAATGAGTTTGCAAAATATGCATAATTAGATTTGTTTGATATACTAATATTTTATATCATTTATTAACAAATTTCAGGATCATAAGATGTTTCTAACATGGAATATAATTTAAAATATAAAACAATCCATGCCCATCTTTTAAAAGTACATGTATGTGTAAATATGCATTTTTTCTTACACCAGAAACTCCAGACCTTATGTGGTAGCTGTAGATGATATTATGTTTCAAAAACCAGTTGAAATTGGATCCTTACTATTACTTTCTTCCCAGGTAATAGACTAAACATATTAATAGATCAAACTAATTTAAAATGTTTGGATTACTCCACCTTTGAACATTAAGAAGTTGGATAAATATTGATCTTTTTAAAATATAGGTAGTCCTTGACTTAAAATGGGAATTGGGGCTGAAATTTCCATCGCTAAGTGATGTGGTTGTAAAGTGTGACTGCTTTGCTATCAATCTCTGCAATCATGGTTGCGGTCGTTAACTAATCTGCACATAATTGTTAGGCAAGGTAACTAACTTCCTGCTGGCTTTCCATAACCAAAGTCAATGGGGAAGCCAGCAGGAAATTGCAAATCCCAGGCTGGCTGGCAGGTAAATGATTGGGAGGTTGGGGAGGGAACAAGGGAGTGGACAGAATTATGGGAGAGGGTGTATGTGAGGGTGCAGGGTGTGTGCAAATGGCTGGCACAATGCAAGCACAGAGGTGCTGGCAGAGAGTACATGGGTGGGGAAGAATTCCCCAGTGACTTGCAACCTTCCCTGTGTCATGGTTCCGACAGATGAAACTCTTCAAAAGAACTTTGAGGCATTGTTTTACCTTAAAGAATTTTTTATTTGAGAAACAAAGTATCGGCACTACATAGTTAAAGCCAAAAACTGAATTCCCCTCCCCGGGCACAAAGTAGCAAAGCACAATTCCCTCCTTCAATTAATAATCATAAATCACATTCCCCAATTACCTTGAAGCGCAGGCTTTCTCCCCAGCTCTCCAAATCTTTATCAACTCTGGGCGCAATAATCTTGGATTCCCACGGCTGAGTTATTATTGTTATGACTAACTGGTCTCTCATCCACATCCCCCCTCCCAGCATCAACTAACTCTAAAAGCGAAAGAGTAAAATGGCTGCATTTCCATCTGTTGTCAAAGCAAGAACATCCGATGTTAGCAGCGTTGACACCCTGATGGCTTCTCCATTGACTTGCAGATGGCAATTACGTAATAGCAAGCAACCAGTTGGAAGTGTGAACTAGTTGCCAAATATCTAGATTGTGATCACATGACCAGTGGGGCACTGGGATGGGTGGAACTTCAATGGCCAGTTGTAACCAATCCTCATAACTTTGAACCATTGCTGAACAAATTGTTGTAGATGAGGACTACCTATAATAAAATGTCCTGCATATTTTATTCGTTTTTGAATATCTATACCTGATAATCAGTTGATCCTAATTTTTAATTTTGAAAGGTATGTTATACTGAAAAAAATAACATCCAGGTTCGGGTGCACAGTGAAGTTTATGATCCAGACACCAGGGTCCACCATACAACCAATGTCTTCCATTTCACATTTATGATAGAGAGGGAAATACCAGATGTTGTTCCCAAGACATATGGTGGTGAGTAATCATTTCAATATCTCACTGTCTATGTCAATAAAAAAACAATTTGTAATGAATTCTAACATAGTTTAAAAGTAGTGATCTTTAGAAATATGAGCTTGCTTGTTTTTTCTCCCTCTCATAGCTTCATTTATCTGGTGCTATGGCATACTAATCTATGCCATCAGTTTTCAGATTAATTTCAGTATTTCATCTGTACCTAAATCATATTTCATGTCCTCTATTAGTATTGATCTTCAGTTTTTTCAGTTTGTATTATACAAATTATCTTAAATTAAAGAACTAATTAAGCATTATTATGATGATGAAGACACAAACACTGGTTTTAGCTATCTGGAAAAAGCAGGCTTAAAAAAATTAGGAAAATTAATATGTAAAGAAAATAGTGAAAAATAAAAAAGCCCTGAGCATCCAATTGATCATGTAATGAAACTTGACATTTTTGCTTTTCTTTCAGAATCTATGTTGTATTTGGATGGAAAACGGCACTTTGAAAACACAGCATAGGATCAATACAGAATTACAGCTTTGGATGGCCTTGGAAACTTCAACTATAGTGGTTATCAGAAAGAATAAAAGTATTTTAACTCCAAAAACTTCAAAAACAGTACAGAAATGTTATAAAACATTTTAGATTTCTATTCAGGTATTTTTGTTACTATTTATACAAATATTTTAATGTTCTCATTGCATATATTCTTCATATGTTTAAGCATAAAACAAATATAGAATATCTTGCTGAGGATCCAGTTATGATTGGGATGGATAAAATATTGTGTAAATAAATAATCAGTAGCAACCAAAAAAAAGCTACGTTTGAGTAGGAAGTATAGAAAATAGTATGGAATAATGCTCCTGAATATCTTTCATATCTTTTAAAAACTTGTACATTATTTAAACTCATATGCAGCATATAGTGGGGATACTATATTGGGCCAATTAAGACATTTTCCCCCTTTCCCTTTGGATTCATAAAAAATCTCATTGTGCTGATTGGTAGTTGTTTTTTTAAAGTTTTTTTTGGTAAGCCTGGTTCTTTGTATTTGTACAAACCTCCTGTTCTGTCCTGGTACTGATAGTAAAATGTGATCCTTATATAAAGTGCTGATTCCTCACTGAGACAAATCAGAAACTGAAAATAGTGCTGTTTTCATAATAATAAACTATGACCAACTCCTGCTGCCATAGGAAGGTTTTTGGATTAATAAATGTCTCATGAATCTTGTTTTTACTGCACTCCTAGGAGATACTGAAAATTATGAACAAATGTATATACATACATATATGTTAACCAAAAAAGAAAGAAAAAACGAACACCAGGATATAATAAACCAGACTGTTTAATATAAACAAGCCTGTGGTTAAAAAGAGTCACTAAGCTTTTGTCAGACCAAACTGCCGACGTCATCAGAGTTGGAGTAAAAGGAGATCAGGAAGGCAGTTCATGTAACCTCCTGCCTCTGTGCCCGGCTCCTTGAACGTATCATCGGCCCGTTGTTTGTATTAATCCGTACCACGCAGAGTTGTTCCGCATCAGGCAAACTGTCCTTGGCTCCGCTAGTTGTTTTACGATCCTCAAGTGCTCTTTTAGAGCATGTGCAAGCACTTGGGGGGCGGCTGTCAACCCATCCCTGCGCCCAGTCTCCTCCCTCCCAGGGCCATTATCCTCCTCCACCCCCAAGGCCATTGTCGTCTCACCCGTAATTCCTCCGCCCCAGTCCTGCAAAAAGCAGCTGTTCTGGCATTCCTGCTCTCCGGCTTCCCCCTCCCTCCCCCTCCTTCCAGATCACCTCTGCGCGTCCGTCCCCGGCTTAGGGCCGTTTGGTCCATCATCTCGGTTCATGGGAGTCGTGGTCGCCTCACCTGTAGAGCCATCGTCCCAATTATGCAAGATGCTGTCCCATTATTTGTTAATTCTGCTTCTTAGATTTTTCATGTTTCCTTGAATAATTTTAGAAAGGATTCTGATTTATATCTAAAACCAAAACATGTTAATTAGTGGATTTTATGACAAGAATGTAATATCTTTTGTCTGAATCAATATATTGATCAATCTAGGCCATAACCTCAAGTTCAGTGTAATGCTGTGTCTTCATGAGTTGAAAGCTCCAATTAATGCAGAATGCAATGATCTATTTCTTGACTAAATGAGATCATAATAATAATACATAGATCAGTGACAGAATCAAAATTATCTGTTATGAAAAGGTCCAAATGTTAGCTCTGGCATTTAAAAATTTAGATAGCTAGGAATTAATATAATTTAGAAACCATATTTTGTCTATTTTTCTTTTAGTTGGATTTTAAGGTCATGAAAAATGCTTCTTGATTGCACAAGCATAAAAAGTATTTATGCTAAGTTCAAAATAATATCGGCCACAACTATGGAAATTTTCAAGTGTCAATTCTCTTCTAAAAACCAGTGAAAATTTTGATAAGCATGTGGCATATCAAGTATAGGGATCCACTAAATGGGATTCACGGCATTATTTTCCAAAATTTCTACAAAACTAGTTGGGGTAGTTTTTTAGAAGCTGGGATCAAGAGATTACTCTTAAGTGAAAGTGTCAGAGACAGAACTGATCATAAGTAAAAAGGCAACAATTCTACTGCAAACAGGTGCATCTGTATATGGTGGTTTATTATTCACAAGAAATTATTGTTCTTTCAGGTTCTCTGAATATACTTGGTTTCTTTAGAAGCATTTCCTTGCAATATCCCATACATGATATTTGTTAAGATTTTTGCTTTTATTACAAGTTATTTCATCAGGACTTTCTAGTTAAAGCTTGCTTTCAGAAACCACAGTTGGGAAAATAAAAGTGATCTTGCACATTAGAACACTGCTATTGAATATTCTGTATCTTCATAATAAGCTAATAAATATATAACTGAGAAAACTATTTGCCATCCATCTCCATTTTTATTCTGTAATTGTTTGAATTAGTTTCATTTATTAATGCTAGTTATTGGTAATTAGCATCATTATGCTAATAGTGAAACTTTATTGTTTGGGATATTTAATTTAGCTATTGCATTCTCTAAACCAAGAGAGCAACTCCCCCTGCTGGAAAGTCAGAGCATAATCATAATCTTTATGAAATGATTAATTGAAATTTTAATTTGGCATTGCCCAGAAAATCATTTGGAAATAACTCAATAGCTCAAACTACCAAGGGCCACCTAAATAATCTATATGAGATGTATGTGGTTTCCAACTGAACACTTATTTTCTGCTCACTAATGCCTTAAACATTTTCAAAATTCTCAAAACAGTAAGATCCTTAAAAGTATTCAAATTATCTTAACTCAAATATTCAAATAAAAGTTTTCAGAACAATGAGAAGCACTAGTTATAAAATAGTGAAAATTTGAATTACATATTCTATAATCCAGTGGAAGCTTTTAAAAATGTATCATCATTCTACTAAATTTGGGATATTTACTCCTTAAGTAAAATTGAAAAGCTTTTGTTGGGAGTGGCAAGCCTGGATTATACTGGGTGCTATAGACATCTGACTGTCCATTACAGATGTTTACAACAAGACAATTGCATTGCCTTTTTCATTAGTCAGGAACGCTATGCTTGTGCAGACTTTATTGCTGCTGATACTTGCACTCCATATGAGTCTTTATAGCAGCCAATATCACTACAGTATATGGTCAAAGGGAATTATTCAGTCTACATATAATTGAGAGGCTGAAAGGGATTAACTAACGCACATATGTATTGAATTCCTGATTAGGGCTGCAAGGGTTTACTTTGGAATTTATTTCAGTTGGATAATCTCTTGGATTCAACCTTGGGTAATTAAGATGTCGGTCCTTGGCCTTGCACATGGCTTTTAATTAAATAGAAATAACTTAATATACCACTTCATAGTGCTTCATTATTCAATTTCATCCTTCCAGTTTAAAATGCACATATGCATTTTATAGCAGAACAACAACAACAACAACAAAAAGATGGCTATTCCCTCATCATCCAGAGCTCTAAATCCTCTGGAGACTGCTTTCTTGCAGTCTCCTTGCAAGGATCTCAAGTCCTCTCCTTGTCAGGAGAGGAATTACAAAAAAACAGTCTATTTGCCAGCTCTTCATTCCATCACAGTCATCAGCTTTCCTTTTAGTCGAGTTGTCCTCAATTCACCCTATCCTTCCTGGTCCATCTTTTTGCTCAAACTTTGCTCAAGTACTTTTAAAAGGACATTCACCTACTTCCTTTTTTGATCATTTTCAGAAATTGCTTAATAGTTTTCAACTATTAAGAGCCTTTGGATCAACATGTTTTACAGCAGGGTGAGTTTTCTTCAGTTCTTAGAGAATGAAGTTTTAAATTCAAGTTTAAGGATTTAAAAAAAGCTTTTGGAATAAATAGCAAAAGGATGATTAAAACTTTGATTTTGGAAAGTTGCAAACTAAGAATCCAGATGGATCTGAAATAAGACTTTGGAATTAATTGTAAGAATCCTTCCCATGGGAAAGTGCTTTTGAAGTCTCTTTAAAAAAATTATAGGATAAGACTTTGAAGATTGGCTACTGGAAGGAAGCACAAGAAACTAAAGGTTACAATTAAAGGAGAAGAACACTTAAATTTAACTTATTAATATAAAATGGAACAAAATATTTTAATATTGGACATATTAAAGGACATTTTTAGCAATGGACCCAGAATTTAATTTTAAGAATGTCTATCTCTATAGATAGACTGTATTTAAAAGATATTATGGAAGAGGAACAGGTTTTATCAAACAAGACTGAAACTGATATGGTCTAGATTTAAAAATAACAGGCTACAAGAATCATATGGAAAAAGTTGCCACAATGAACATAGAAATAAAACTGGCTGATGTCTTAATAATTAAAGAGAAAATACAAATATAGAGTGACCTGGATAATTTTCCACTATTGGATTTACAAAAGATACTTCTTTAAGGTTTAAAGAATTTTGTTAGACGGGACAAAGAAAAATGAAATCTAGTTCTAGGACATCATTTGAAGGGATTAAGGATTAAGATAGTTAGAAGTAAAAGGAAAGAATATATACCGTGTTTCCCCAAAAGTAAGCCCTACTCCAAAAGTAAGCCCCAGCTGATTTTCAGGGGGGTGGTGGGCCTAATATAAGCCCTACCCCGAAAGTAAGCCCTAGTGCAGAGTGGGGTGAGTCAGCCCAGATCTTCCGTGCGACAGCTGGAGCGCCGCCCCTACTAGGGCTCTTTGATCAAGAGAGAAGTAATTTATATATGACTTTATACATTTATTTTTTTACTATATTTCTTTCTTTTTCTACTTGCTTTCTTTTCTGTATTTTTTTTCTTTTTATTTTTTTATTTTATTTTGTTTTAGTTTATTTGTTTTAAGTATAATTTTAAATTATTATAAAAAGAACAACAAATCCAAAAGGAATTAACAAAATTAATGGAATTTTATTTATAATTTTTAGTTGTAAGCTATCTGTTTACAAGAAAGCAGTCAGTTCACTTTACCAAAATACTTCAATTTTCCTGCAGGATCTGGAATTATCTGCAAAAGAAAAAAAAAGTATTTCTATGAAAAGACAGTCTTTATATGCATGAATGATTGGTTTTGAAAAACT